AATTCAGAAATAGAAGTCATCAAAGAACTCCTATGCTGAGAGTGAGTACAGATAATTGAGAAATAAACTCAAGAATTTGCTACAGTTTTTAAAGTCTTCGAACGGACTTTCTTTTTTCAGTAAGAAAAATTAACTATACTGACCTAAAAAGTCTTCTGAAGTTCGCTTTTCCAAGTGTGACTGACAGCTTCGATTAGCTTGTTGCCGTTGCTCCTTCGCCAGCAAATCTCTATTCCGAATAAATCGTACCTATAATATTCATAGATAATTTCCAACAAGCAGCCTACATTTGATGAAACATACCCAAACATCAATGCGCTTGTGAAGCTCATTTATTCCACCAAAATGGTTATTTTCGGAGCCGCTATATTGAACAAATAAACTATCTTTATAAGGCTGCAAAACAAAAACCAGCTTCCTGAAAAAGTGCAGTTTTGACAAAAACAGTCAATAATATTCAAATTTCTTACTTTGACCCTTCTTCAAGACCATTTGGGTAACCTCGCATTATATGCTCAATCTTATCTCGAGTACCAAGCCTAAGGGCCAAATTCTTTGCAGCAAAGTCCGATAGAATCATGGAGATTGCAGGCTTATTACCAGATGTGAGCATCTGAAAATTTCTTCATTATCACTTAAAGGAAACGTTCACTCAAAACCCCTACAGTTAAACTCGGGTTCAACCCTAAACATTTAACCTTTAGGACATAGAGTTATTTGGAAAATGTTATATATAGCCATTAAACAAACTACCGATGATTTCACTTGATTGTCAGCGATAAATGGTTTCTATTACTGAACCTTGGGCATTAAGTAACCAATTACTTTAAAAATATGTATTAATGCGCCACTCCAAAAGATGAAAAATAAAAACAGCCTGAATTAGAGAACTCAAGTTGCGAAAGAATATACTGATTACTAGAAATACCGAACAACTTGTCAGAAACTCGTACCTAAAAATTTAGAAATGTAACCTTACTCCATGGACCCACATAATCTATATTAACAAATTAGCTTGCAGTAAGTCTTCTGAAACTGTGTGACCACCACAAATTTCAAGTTAAAGAAAAACTAACCGCAAAGCTCTCGATATGCACAAACGGAATCTCAATACTGCTCTTCTCACCAGAAGCAGTGTACAACAACATCACAACACATCCTCGATTCTGGAAAAACACCTTCATTTCGAAAATTCAATGCTGACGTAAGAGGAGAGATCCTCACATTTTTACCACTAGTCCGAAATGCGATATCCCGGCCATGTTGAGGCATTAACAACTCTACGGGACCATGCAATGCTTGCAACGGCGATATCTGGGCGTAAGTGTTAAAAACTAAAGCTAATAAGGTTTTTAGGAAAAAACTCACGTAAAAAAAGTTGACACTATCCGTCAAACTAACGTTTTGATCGGATTGTGACATTGTCGAGAAGGCTATGACTTACTGGAGAGAAATCTTTTCTCATTCACTATGAGACCAGTTCAGATTTAGGTAAATCTCTGGAAAGAGATAGAAATTATTAGGAATTGTACTAGAGAATATTCCTCTAAAAACTACAAATGTAAAAAGATCCTTATAAGGACTTATGATGTCACTGTGTAATTAAAAGCATGACAAATTAAACGAAGGCAAGCTATAAAGCCATGAAACTGCATGGAAACTCTTTGAAGGAAGCACTGTTTGCTGGATGTGCTCTAATCACAAACATTTTAAAGGGCGCACTGGATTTTGCACTGCAAAAATGTCGCTACATGGTCGCGCGCGTCCTCATATTAGCCGCGGCGAGGGCTTCATAAATTCTGTCCTTTTTTTAAGACTAAGATAAAGAATAGAACCATTCTGAAGTAGGTTAGAGATATTTGTTGCATATGTAGTGTTAGTATGACAGTGCAATTTCACATTATATTGTTCGCTCATAATTTTACATTACAAAGTACAGGAAACTGGACTATAAATGTCTTGTTTCCGCCGAATACATTTTGCTTAACAGGGAAACGGTAGTAAGTGACGCACCCGTTCAAAAAAGAGCTGTACACCGTTGCTTAAGTCTTGAAATGCTGACTTTTAACCTGCTTTATTCTCTACAGCGGTCCTCTGAAGTCAGTTATGGGGAATTTTTCCGTAAAAATAGCGCTTAGTCAAAAGCCAGAAAATTAATTAGAAAAATCACATTAACGATGCTATAGTTCTTGGCTGGATCTGTACCATGGTTAGGACTTATCTTTTGCATTTTTACTTTATTTTGAATCCTTTGGCACTGAGCAATAGTTGCAAGATTGTGAACGCTATTTTT